CACGGAAAAAGTCCCATCCTAATATCATCTGGTGACTACATTCTGGTCACACTAGAAATTCAAATGGTCCAACGTTTCCATTTAAGTCGATTTTAAGCACGCATCGTCCTGAAGATGCTACAGTGTTACCGTCGGCGGTTTTAATGTGGGTCCTTTTTCGGAAAACATAGGAACGTTGAGTCGTCTTCGTAATTCGTCGGATATAACTGAAAAATCAGCACCCGAGTCGACGAGGGCTCTTACACATTGTCCATTTACGTTAACGTAAGTGGTGTTCTCCCTTAATTTATTGGTGGTATACGGCGGAGGATTTTGTTTCGGTGCGGCCTCACCTCCAACACAGGTCGCCTGATCTAGTTTTCCTCATTGAATCGTCGAGGGGAGCGGCTGGATCGGCGTACAGGTGATTGCGACTGTCTTCGATTAGAGGGGCGGCGAGGATAAGGGGAACTGCTTCTTTGACGGGTCGGCGTAGGATGTGAATAGTTGTCGTCGGCTCCGTAGCTTTGAATTGATTCCATATCGAAATCTGAGTCCCTTCGTGAATATGGAGTGCGGTTGGCTTTAGCTGAAGCGAAAACTTGACGTCGTTCTCGACAGTACCTGAAGACGTGTCCTGGGCGTCCACAATGAAAAAAAAGCGGGACATTGTCATTAGTTCGCCAGACGTCAATTTTACGTGGTGGAGCGGCGTTGCTTCTCTGTATTCGTCTTTGTTGTAGCCCTGCCGGAGCCGAACATCGTATGGGAGCGGTATTTCGTCTTTGAGGGGCCGATAGTGGGGATAATGCCTGCATGACCTCATCACGGACGATAGATGCAACGTCAGCAGCGGATTCAAGAGTCCATACTGGAGGTCTTGTACTTTCGGTAAAAATCGCTGAATCTCTTCCCTCACAAGTGTTCGCACGAGAGATTTTAGATCGTCTTCCTCAAGTCCCGAAGAAGCATCAGAGATGTTTGGAAGTCTCTGGAATTTTTCTTTTGTGATACGCCTCCTCCGCAAGTTTTCAATTTGGCGGCAGCGTTCGACCAGGTCTTTTGTTGTGGAGTAGTCTTGGACCAGCAGTATCTGGTACAGTTCTTCGTTTATCCCTTTCATGAGGTGCGCTATCTTTTCATTCTCGGGCATAGATTGATTGACTCGCTTGCATAAGGAAAGGACATCTTGTATGTAGGACTCGGAACTTTCTCCTGGAAGTTGTGCTCGAGTCTGTAGCAGTCTCTCGGCTTGGCGTCTGTTTTCCTCTATTCTGCAGAACGTCTTTTCCAAACTTTCTTGAAAGGCGGCCCAGTTCGTGAAATCGTCCTCGTTGTTGTCAAACCATAGTCTAGCAGTATCGGCGAGGTAAAATACGACATTCGCCAATTTCATTTGATCATCCCAGTGGTTATAGCTGGCGATTCGTTCAAAGTCTTTCAGCCACCTTGAGGCGTCTTGTTTTTCGTCACCGGAGAAGACACAGAGATTCCTGGGAAGCTGGTAGGTTAGAATAGTAGGAGTCCCATCCGACTTCTTGTCGCTGTCTTCGACGGTCATTTTCTTCTTACTCCTTGTTGGGTTGGGTAGCAATCCAAATTCAGGAGGAAGTCCTTGTAACCGAAGACTTCGTCGTACTTCTTCCGTAGTAGCAATCGGTGATACCCGGCGCCTCCACCAAAATGTCACGTAGATTTATAGTGGTAAATGGGAGAGGATAGAAATAAGCACACGTTAGAGTAAGATCTCAACTCGAGCTTTATTCAACCCCCAAGTACTATTTACAGAAACTTATATACAGGCATGGAACATTCTAGACTGAATGTTCTTGAAATAAATCAAAGATTAATTTACATATTATTAATTTGCATATTCTAGAAAAGACGAGAAATGTGAAGTAAATTAAGAAACAAAACATAATTATATGAAATATTTGACATCTCCCGGGCTTGAACTCACGTCCCATGGTTCCACAGACGTGAACGCTACCACTAAGCCATGGGGTTTCGTTTACTCTTGCTTACAATATGATTTAACGTGCAACAGGCCCACATATACAACAAATCTTCAGTGGAATCGGGATTCGAACCTGGAACCCTCCGGCCCCCAAAGCCGAGACCCTACCACTAGGCCACCGGGGAGTACCTTCAGTACGAAAACTTCATTCTTGTGACTTGTTTGTTGAGGTTAGTTCTCAAAAGCAAGACCAGATAATACTTAAAAGCCAGTTTTTTTAAAAGTCAGGAAAATCGGGCAGTCTTGGATAGTTGACATTTTTGATTTTGTTGAAATTGGATTGTTGGGATCCAAAATTGAAGATAGTCCATTATTTTAAGAAAAACATACCATTTTACAAAAGGCAATACTTTTTGTGCCAAGAGTGAACCATGGCATTGGTAATTATTTTGCGTTCTTCTACTTCCACACTGACTGTTAGGACATAAGGACTTATGGTTGACTCGGAATCGGGATTCGAACCTTTAACTCTCAGACCCGAAGCTCAGACCTTACCATTAGGCCCCCGCGGCCTTAAATAAATTTGTAATGCGTATATATAAAAATATTAACCAAAAAATTTTATTTAAATTATTGAATGATATTTTAATCCGATGATTGCTTTGATCTCACAGTCTGATTTTATGTTATATAATTCTATGGAACAAAATTGACCATAGAAATGAAGTAAACACCCAATCATCCGGCCTAATGTAGCGGAAGGATAACAAACAAGCCGGGTGGACTGGAGTTCTATAAATGCTCAGTTCCTTCCCCACCAATACCATTACAAACACATCTTCTATACTAAAAAACATTTTTATTCATATTTTCTGATCTCATAGTATTAGCCAGTACTTTATAAATGTTTGTTATTTTATACTGCAAGTTTTGAAAATTTAAAACACACAAAGAAAGTTTTAAAATAAAAATATTGCACGCATTTTAACACAAATCTCACAATACCCAACTTAATTGGTGGAACATAAATCGGGCACAACGTACAGTATGAATACATACACTTTTAAAATAATAAAATATTTACTTTAAACATAAGCTTAATTCTTATAAAAATTATTTACACTTATTTTACAGTTCATTGATAAACGATGACACTAGTAAGCCTTAGGTGAAAAAGTGAAAACTGACAGTTTTTGAAAATATTCTATAGTTTATTTTACATTTAAACCTAAGATGTTGCGATACCTTTTGCAAGGTGAATCAATTTTTTGGACAGTTTTTATATTATTTTTCTGAGATATGTTAACCTGTTTCTTTTATCAACGGAAAATATCTTTTTTGGCGTGAAACGACAGTTGTTTTTAAGTATAAAACATTAAGACGGGGTTGCATAACCAGATTGCAAAGGACGACATTTTTATATTGATAAATTGATTTGTTTAAATTAGCTAACCGATTTTGAGCTTCAGAACGTCTCTTTGGGAGACTCGCCTTGTAATTTTGAAACGTGGTCAGATCACGAGGAAGACTACGAGCGGCATCCCCTTTCCAAATTTCCGTACCACATCAGCAGGAAGACACTTGAGACTGATGAATTTAATAAGTGTCAGACTTATGCACACAGCGGATCTTCAGTGAAATCAGATCTCGAAACCGTCACCCTCAGACCCCGAAGTTGGAATTTTGGTATTTGCTAGGATCCCCCGGTATTTTGCTAGGAAATCACCTGACTGGGTTGGATAAATGCAGAAAAAACTGTTAGGGGGAGTAGATATTCTTTATTGTAAACCGGAATGATAAAATGCATCTTTAAAACATATCTTTAGTGACAGGAGCCAATTATGAACGACAAGTAAAGCGTGCAGTAGCTTTCAAGTATGCTCTATTAATTACTTTTAAAAGTTGCATTACCTAGATATTGCATTTATTAGGGAATACTGGGCAAAATCCAAAATATGAAAAATGAATTATATTTTGACTTTTTATTGTTTATTAATTATATCAAGAAAGCTCAAGCTGTCTGTTCGCAACAAATAAATAATAATAAAAAATTGTGGGAATAATTTATTACATTTGATCATGCCAATTTAAGTTATAGTCTTGGGAGCTTTTTCCCGCATTCAACCGATAGCGAATATTTCTAGTTTATTATGAATTCGAAATCTATTTTTAGAAAGTCAGCACAGATAGGTACCTAGTTTGTAAATTTCGTTATGAAGTTGCGTTTTATTGCATCAAAGGAAAAGCATCAGTTGACGATAACTTTAGCTGGAAAATTATATCTAAAATATGTATTTGTTCGGGCCACTTTTTTGAACATTAAATAACGCAAATGCAAATCTGATTAAGAATGAGCTCTGTCTTATTACTGAGGTCTTCATATTACTGTTTTCGATTAACCTTTTTTTACATGGGGAGAAACCTCAGCTTAACATTTTCATGTACAGTAGACGCCGCTTAATGTGATCGCCGTTAATGCTATCATTTGCTTTTTATTTTATCAAAACTTCTGGATTCTAACCGGCGCACAGTGTGTAATTTCGACAATCTAGGCGGAAAAAATTAATATTTACAACACAAAAGTTGATTGTTCGGTTTTTAAGATAAATACTGCTAATAACATACAAATATGTTTCACTGAACGACTTGTTTTAATATACGAGTAATTTTAAGAACGTTTTCACAATAACATAAATCTTTCCTCAATGTATACATACACATGAAAACATGTTATGAAAAAAACTAGTGTTCTAGAAATAGAAAAAAAACGTATTTTCTCAGATAAAATATTCTCTTAATATGTAATAGTAAATATTTGAGAAAAATCGAGCTAAAAATATAAGCAGAAAAGTGGAAAAAAGTTGAAAATTGACATTGAGTGAAAACAATCGTACAAAAGTGTTTCACGCATGTTAGAATATTAGATAAGTATGTTTTCATTCTGAGCTACTGCTCTCTTCTGATGAGTCCTCAGACACGATGGCGGAATCTTCCTCATCTGATAAACTTAATTCTAACAATTTTTTCATTTCTCGATCCATTTTCCGTTTCTTGGATTTTGGAGCTGCCCGTAAACTTGCTATATAGGGATCGGATGTGATGAGCAATCTGTGTAGTAAATCTGTATTTGTGTTTATTCTGGATGTCTTCCTTGTGAATAGTTTCTTATATTGCCTATTATGTTTATTTCTTGCCTCCTGGGCTTCTTCAGAGTATAATCCAATCGAAAGAATACACGCTTCAACTATGTCTCTCCCGTGAAATAAAATTTATGTAGACTTACAGGCATTGGATACCAACTGTAGTTTCGGAGGTATATGTCTTGTGTCACTCTCGTAAATTCTGCGAATTTGTCTAAATTAATTTTCATGTTACAGTTTATGCACTCGAGAATAATTCCCAAACGCTTGATCAAGTTGTACTCCACTCCAGTTATCTCTGCAGTTTTCTCAGGATGTCTAAAAAATTTGCGGGCCGTGTTGCCGTCATTTGCCACTTTGTTGCTTTGGCATGTCAACTAAAAGACCTAATTCTCGTCTAAATCTCTCTTGAACTTTTTTTTTTCTGAGATACTTTTTCTTTTTTTTCAGCTCCTCGTGTTTGCCATGTTTTAATATCTAGCCAATATGAAATATGAAGAACGTATTCCATTAGCCTTATCCAAGGGTGGAGTGGTGATATGCCAAACGTCAGAAATTCTTTGCTCGCTTCTTTTTTGGAGATGACACGTAAGTTGTTCATTTCATTGGGTTTCGCCCTACACAAGTAACATGTTTGGGTGGATGAACACGATGATACAGCATTACAAACTTTTCCGTCGACTATACAAATTATCAGAGTTGGCGTTACTGAAATTTCCAAATCAAAGAAAATTTTCGTCGGTTCGAGTTCTTTTATTTGGTGTTTTATTTTTTCAACTTCCGCAGTAATCAAATCTGTCGATTCTTTGGCAAAAATAAATTTAATAGGTCGACAGTACTTAATCGAAGACGGAACTGGGTTTTTCCAAATTACACTTTTGGAATCGTCTGTACTACTATGAATTTGCCGTGAAACTACACAAATGCTGAAAAGGTTTTCGTCACTGAAACTTTCCTCAGAAAACTTTTGTTTATATCGAGTTTGCTCGGATCCATCACATCCCCATTTCATAATAACTTCAAAAGTAGTATTTGTGGACAAACGTAATTTTTCAGTAACAAATTCGATGTGACAAATACGTGAAACAGTGTGGTCAACGACTGTCTGCAAAGTTATTTCTGCTGATGTTTTTGTCACACTAATACCGTGTGGATAACATAACTGCTTGGATTCTTTAACTTTATGATAGGGAGGATACAATTTGCAATTCAGATTTTCAGCTTGTTCACGTATTCGTTGGTATTGACGAGTGGACAAACCATTATCTACCATTAACACAAGCGCTTGTTCTGGTGATAATGTCGCTGGCTTTTGAAGGAAAGATATCCGAGCCTTCTTAATAGTTGTACCTCTATTTGGGGATGCAGCTGAGAGTTCAATTATTGCTGCAGTCTCTCTTTTGCCTAGCTTCCTTAACTGAATTTCCGTATCTGTACTGATCTCTTCACTGGTTGAACTGTAGGAGATGTTGCACTTTTTTTTCTTTGGAAGAACAAGCATCGAAAGTTTTAGTTGGCCGGCCAGGATTGGTGATGGAAGGATCTACAGTAAATGGTATAGCTTTAAACAAATCACCAGAAAATGCGACGTTGCTGCTTAGCCAAGATGAATAATTTCGAAGAAAATGTTGCCGATGTCTTCCAACCTTTTCCCATTTGCTATTGATCGTTTGGTAATTTTTTTAAATTCTACTCTTCAAGTTTATCACAGCACTTTCCGAATTCGAAAGAGTTCCAAGTTCTTGCATAATAAACGCAATAAACGCGTTCTACTTTTGAACATTTCGTGTTTTTCATCCATACTTCGAAAAGCCGTCTCCGAGAAATTGTATGTACCATTCTGCAGAAAAGGATTAAAAAAAAAAAAATCGCAAGTTTTCGCAAGATATTTTTCAACATGTAGACTTATAAATGTTCTATGTTTCATGCCTACACAACCGCAAAGTGGTACTCGGTGGTACTTTTTATAACCTAATAAACTAATGATAATGGTAACTTTACATAAACTAATGATTTCGCTTTCACATTGCAAAAAAAATG